GGCTAAAAGCAAAACCATGGAAACAAAATTCATGGCCAACTATTGAAAATGGTTGAATTAACTGTAGAAGATACTTAAAATACCATGGAATACTATGCAGTCATGAAAAGAAATGATTTAGAAATATAGGATGACTTGCTGAGCTTGCCACTGTGCAGAGAAAAGCAAGATTCAAAGGAATATAAATAATGTGAGCTCATTTTTAAAAGATTACCCCTAAAACACACACACACTATATATATATATATATTCTCTATATATGTATACTTACATGACTATGGAAAAGGATATGGAAAGTTGTACACTAAGTTAGCAGTGATTTTCAAGAACAAAGTGAGGAGAGCTGCAGCCATTGAAGGGGTAAAAAGAGGAGATGATCATGAAATAAATTAAGATAGCATCTTCTTAAAGGGAGGGAGTCCAAAATAAATGGAGCATGTAGGATAGGATCCCTAAGTATTTGGGTCTGGGCTTTCTGAAAATAACAGGGATTACAATTCAGAAAACAGGAGATAATGGTTGAGTGACATCAATGCATCAAAACTCAAGAGGCAGCAGTCTTCCAGAGGGCAGTACCTTCCAGCCTCTTGTGCCTCGGTCCTTTACCTGGACCCTCTTAAACAAACCCTAGATCCCCAACTTCCAACTTATCTCTCAACAAAATCCTTCCTTCTCAGTGATCAACAGTACAGTGAGCTCCATAAAGATGTAATTTTGCCTACACTGAAGACAGCTCATCTTTAAGTTTAGTCGAGCTGTATAAATCATGTCTCAGCCACTCTAGTGAGGAATAGGCCTTGAGTTTTATCTTAAAATTTCACTGAAATGTTCTCCCACAAGTAAATGCAAATTTTGCCTTTGACTCTGATTAAGCAAAAACTGAGAATTTGAAATGTCTGTAATTATAGTTCATTATGCCACAGGTTTCAAAGACACAAAATCTATCTCATAGGTAAGGTCATAGGCAAAGTATTTAGCTCCCCCCACCAATCAGCATCTGGAAGTAGAAGGATTTTCCATAACAGAACATAAGTGGTGGAGTGTGCATATTTCTGGGGGGAGGGTTATGAAAGATTCATCTCCTCATTCCAGAGTAATCACCTGGAGCCATGACATATATTATGGAGTGTGATAACAGAGCTTAAATATTTTGACAGCTTTATGTATAGAAGCAGGTGAAAAGTTATTTTAAAGTTGTTCATTATTTTCGTTGCTGGAGGAAGATAGCCTTTTTTTTTTTAATTGGAGTAAAATTGCTTTACAATGTTGTGTTAGTTTCTGCTGTACAGTGAAGTGAATCAGCTATATGTATACCTATATCCCTTCCCTCTTGCACCTCCCTCCCACTCTGCCATCCCACCCATCTAGGTTGTCACAGCTCACTGAGCTGAGCTCCCTGTGCTATACAGCAGGTTCCCACTAGCTATCTATTTTACACATGGTAGTGTATTTATGTAAAACCTAATTTCCTAATTTGTCCCACCCTCGCCTTATCCCCCTGTGTCCACATGTCCATTCTCTACGTCTGCATCTCTATTCCTGACCTACAGATAGGTTCATCTGTACCATTTTTCCAGATTCCACATATATGCGTTAATTTACAATATTTGTTTTTCTCTTTCTGCCTTACTTCACTCTGTATGACAGACTCTAGGTCCATCCACATCTCTGCAAATGACCCAATTTCATTCCTTTTTAAAGCTGAGTAATATTCCATTGTATATATGTACCACATCTTCTTTATCCATTCATCTATCGTTGTACATTTAGGTTGTGTAATAATGGAGCTTAAATATTTTGACAGCTTTATGTATAGAAGCAGGTAAAAAATTATTTTAAAGTTGTTCAGCATTTTCATTGGTGGAGAAAGATTGCCTTTGTTTTTTTTGTTTGTTTGTTTTAAGAGAACACTTCAGTGAGATTTTGGTCCACACCCACCCCAAATGATGAATTCTACTCAAGAATGAAATTTGAGCCCATTGCTAACATTATGCTCAGTGGTGAAAAAGCTGAAAGTTTTTCCTCTAAGATCAGGAACAGCACAAGGATGCCCACTTTCACCACTTTTATTCAACATAGTATTAAAAGTTATAGGCAGAGCAGTTAGGCAAGAAAAAGAAAGAAAAGCATCCAGATCAAAAAGGAAGAAGTAAAACTGTCACTACTTGCAGATGACATGTTATATATAAAAAGCCCTAAAGACTCAACCAAAATACTGTTAGAACTAATAAATGAATTCAGTAAAGTTGTAGGATGCAAAATCAATATACAAAAATTAGTTGTGTTTCTATACACTAATAACAAACTATCATAGAGAGAAATTAAGAAAACAATCCCATTTATAATTGCATCAAAAAGAATAAAATACTTGGAATGAACTTAACCAAGGAGGTGAAAGACCTATACACTGAAAACTATAAGACATTGACGAAGGAAATTGAAGAAGATGCAAATAATAGAAAAATATTCTGTGTTTATGAGTTGGAAGAATTAATATTGTTAAAATGTCCATAATAGGGCTTCCCTGGTGGCGCAGTCGTTGAGAGTCCGCCTGCCGATGCAGGGGACATGGGTTCGTGCCCCGGTCCGTGAGGATCCCACATGCCACAGAGCGGCTGGGCCCGTGAGCTATGGCCGCTGGGCCTGCGTGTCTGGAGCCTGTGCTCCGCAGCAGGAGAGGCCACAACGGTGAGAGGCCCACGTACCGCCAAAAAAAAAAAAAGTCCATAATACCCAAAGCAATCTGTAGACTCCGTGCAATCACTATCAAAATTCCAATGACATTTACCACATAAATAGAAGAAATAATCCTAAAATTTGTTTGGAACTATGAAAGACCCCAGATAGCCAAAGCAGTCTTGATAAAAAAGAACAAAGCTGGAAGCATGATGCTTCCTGATTTCAAACTATATTACAAAGCTATAGTAATCAAAACACTATGGTATTGGCATAAAAACAGACACATAGATCAATGGAACGGAATAGAAAGCTCAGAAATAAACTCATTAATTTACAACAAAGAAGCCAAGAATATACAATGAGAAAAGAACAGTCTCTTCAATAAAGGGGAAAACTGAACAACCACATGCATAAAATGAAAGTGCATCACTATCTTATACCATATACAAAAATTAACTCAAAATGGGTTAAAGATGTGAAAATAAGATCTGAAATCATAAAACTCCTAGGAAAAAAACATAGGCAGTAAGCTCCTTGACACTGGCCTTGACAATGGCTTTTTGGATTTGACACCAAAAGCCAAGGTAATAAATGCAAAAACAAGTGGAACTAGGGACTTCCCTGGTGGTCCAGTGGTCCAGACTCCATGCTCCTAATGCAGGGGGCCTGGGTTCGATCCCTGGTCAGGGAACTAGATCCTACATGCCGCAACTAAAAGCCTGCATGCTGCAACTAAAAGATCCCACATGCTGCATCTAAAGATCCTGCATGCCTCAAGGAAGATCCCTCACGTGGCAATGAACATCCCACATGCTGCAACTAAGACACGGAGCAGCCAAATAAATAAATATTTAAAAAGGAAAGAAAAAACAAGTGGAACTACATCAAACTAAAAGGCTTCTTTCTGCACAGCAAAGGAAATTATCAACAAAATGAAGTCATCCTATCGAATAGGAAAAAATATTTGCAAATCATATATCTAATATGGGGTTAATATCCAAATATAAAAAGAACTTATCAACTCAATAGCAAAAAGAAAAAAGTCCAATTTAAAAATGGACAGAGAATCTGAATAGACATCTTTCCAAAGAAGACATAAAGATGGCCAACAGGTCCATGAAAAGGTGCTCAACATCACTAATCACCTGGGCAATTAAGGACATGTCAGTTGTCTTCCTGCTCACTTTTTTTTACTAAAGGAACAGGCTCACGAGGCAGTGGCGAATGTAGATTCAGTCATACCTGGGGCCGTATGCAGGTTCCACCCCTTATCAGCTCTAGAGCAAAAGTCTTTGGTCTCTGTTTCTTCATGTACAAGATGGAGGTCTCATAGGGTGGATGGGAGGATTCAATTAAGACAACAAATGTAAAGTAGCACAGTGTCTTGCACAGAATGCATAATGTTATATTGTATGTGCTTTGTGCTCTCTTTACAGGCAATTGACTACCCTCCAAAGCTCTGTTCCTTTGGACTGTCAGTCAACAATATGTTAACTTAAAAAGGAAATGAGAAATAAATATAATAAGTGAAGTCGAAAAACAGAAAAGAAGGAACAATTAATACTTTCAGTTGAACTCTGCACTAGACAAGGTTGTCTCTTGCCTAGGTTGCTCCCCTTCCCCCATGCACCCAGACCCAGGGTGATCGGACCACCCTGGATCAGATGTAGCCCCTTCCAAGAGAGCCCCAAAATAAAGAAGCCTCAAGGACTAGGCTGTATGGAGTCTGAAGCGATGCTTCATCTTAAAACAGCTTTTTATTTATTTTAAATTACCTTTTATTCGTGAATAGCAACTTTTGGGGCAAATTAGGTTACTCAACAGATAACATTTTTAAGATAATGTGTTATGAGTGGGATTAATGACCCTGTGATAGTCATAGGTAGAGATAATACTGTGTATCAAACAATGTAGATGGAAGATGGTAGGCCCTGAAAGGTAATTTCAGATCAGAAATTGGCCCAAATGAAAGATGATATTGATAGGTATGATTCATGAGAAGAGCTTAAATAAAATTGTTTCATGAAATGGGAAAAAAGCAAAAATATAGAATATTTTATATGAGCTCATATATGAACATATAACCAAATTACTAAAATGAATACTGAAAGCAGGGGCAGTCTCTGTTCCCATGTTAGTATGTTTCTGTAGACTATATATCCTATATCCTGGTCAGAGCTACAGGAGCCATCAATTCTCACTTCACCTTTGCTTCTCTGAGCCCCTCTTTCCCACTCAGTGCTTGAGATATTCGATATTTTTGGATTCTTCCACCAATACACTTCTGCCTTTGGTTATCCTTTTCCTTCACCTGCTACCTCTTATGGTGCTGGCTCTCCTGGTGGTGGGGCCTCCGCCGGCAGCAGCATTGCCTCCAGCGGCGGGGGAGCCTCCAGCGGCGGCAAGGGGGCCTCCTCCGGTGGGGGGGCCTCCTCTTCTTGGTCCTTCTCTTCTGACTGCTCCTCCTGTAGCCCCACTGGTAGAAACTCCGTTAGGAATCCCTCACTAGTGGTTTCCTTTGAACTGTCCTCCAAGGTACGCCCTAGGGTCTCTACTGACTCAGTTACAGCCCTGAGGGTAATGTAAAATATTAAAACTAACAACAATATTAAAAGAAATGAAGGGAATATGAAAATTAGCTTGCCAACATTTCTAAACTCAATGCTACGATGAAAAGAACCGCCACCTACACCTCCACTTTGAATTTCAGTTGGTTTGCCAGGTGGACCACTGTCTACACTACCACCATCTCCTGGACCTCTGCAGTCAGGGGGAGCATAACCAGCCTCACAGTGGCAGTGCCTAAAATTGTTGCAAACTCCTTTCCCATTACACATTTCTGCTGGTTTGCAGTCATACTTGAGCACAGCATAATCAGTACAAGAGTAATTTACACAGACTTTGTTTGGAGCACAAAGAGTGCCAGTGTGTACATCTCCATCATCAGGGATATCAGTAGTGTTATAGGCATCCATGCTCCAGCACCAGTCATCTTCATGAGCGACCTGGATCAGTGTATGATTTGGTTTGATTTGTGGTACCTGTCTAACATTTGTACATATAAGTTTCCCACAAAATATATTATCATCTACGCACTTCAAATATCTTAACCTAGGTGAGTTGGTAATACCACAGTTTCCAAACCGGTCGCCTTTTCTGTTCATTGAAATGTAACAGTTTTCTGGGGCAGACCTTGCAGAGAACCCATATATATCCATGCACTGATTATCAGGGTTCTTACAGCGACCTCCAGCGCAATAGTGAATTCTATCACACATTGTACCATCTATCTTATAGCTGTCTATGGGGCATTCTCCAGAGGAACCATCACAATACTCTGGGAGGTCACACTCCCCCAAAGCAGGACGGCACATGAATCCCTTATATTTCAGTTGGCATTTAACACAGCAGAGTCCATCACTACACTCTGCATTCTCCTTCAGCCTACATGTTTGGTCACAGCATGGGTGATTGTCACAGTCAGAACCACAGTCACACTGCTCATCCTCTTCTATAACGCCATTTCCACAGCGGGAATCCCTCCGTAAGCGGCCTTTGGGCCCAGGCTTGTTAAATAGGCAGGCCCCTTTGTGTTCCCAGAGGAACTGGTAGAAGAAGTCAGAGCTGCAGTTGCTGAAGCCACTTTCTTTAGTGATATTTTCACGCATGAGGCCAAAGGGTTTATCTTTACAAACGCAGGCTGAATGGTCATGCGGAATACCCAAGTTGTGCCCAAGCTCATGGACCATGAGTGCTGCAAACAGGAGGACATCCTCATGGTGGAAGGATTCAACGGCTGCTGCAAAATCACTTGAACAGGCACCACTGAGAAATGCCTGCCCCGTACCCTCTTTAGGATGGTGTCCAACGATCATGTGGGCAACATCATGCTTCACACGATGGAAGAGCCTCTCTTGTCTCCAGCTGTTGAAATTCCTGAGTGCAACTTGCAGGTCCACTGGGACCTGTATGAGGTCCCCCTCAGTCCAGATCTCCATTCCAGCCAGCACCACCTCTGTGTTTATTCCCCTAGTGAAGCTGTTGGCCAGAGCAATGATGTCCATTACTCTCTGGACTGTCTCATTGACGTCACTGCCCCACATTTGGAACCGTTGGTTGTCGACCACGACAAACATCTCCACGTATTTGGTATGTGACCACAAGTAGGATGGCACCTGCTGACTGTGAGGCTTGCTGCTCTCTTGTTGCCGGCTGGTGAATGCCACTTGGCTGTCATTGGAAGTGACACTACAGGAGACTGGAGCTTCATGGGCCATGGTGTACAACACATGTTCAAACCGTTTTGAAGAGTGAATGGGCTCAATGCCATAGGATTTTGCCTCCTTCATCAGGATGCCCCTGAGGCCTGAACAGGTGTTGACAGAAACAAAAGAACCTGGGACTCCTTCTATGTAGCCTTCATAATGACAGTCATGTGAGATGAAAGGCATTTCTTGCCCCAGGATGCCATTGTGGTAGCTGAAGACTGGAAAGTTATTCACAAAATAGTCTCTCTTCACCTTCAGGTGAATCAGCTGTTTCTGGCCCTGCATAAATAGCACATAGGAGAGCTTTTCCACTTGGTCTTCCCTTCCTTCCACTGTCAGACTCTTGGGGGTGACTGTTTCATAGTAAGAGTAATATACTGATCCCAGATCACAGTACAAGCTTGGCAGAGAAATCACCAACAGCAACACAGTCCTCAAACAGAAACATGAAGATCCCGGCACTGGCCCCAGCCTCAAGTCCCTCTTCTGCTGAGCCCAAGTCTGAAACTCTATCTTACCCTCCTTCAAGGCCACTTGGTTTTTCCGTAGAGAAGGCAGTATAGAGGCAGAGTGTGTCACAGACGCTGCCATGTTAAATCAGTTGATGATGCAGGGCCTATGTCCAGCAGCAGCAGCTTTCCCTGACATGCAGACCCTCCGTCACAGGTATTCACTTCAGATCTATGCTGGCTCCCTTATGGGTGGGTACTGCCCAACTCTGAACCTTACAGACCTTGGGGCTGTGTTTCTGTTCTTGCTTTTCTTTCTTGGCCTTCAGTGGTTTCCTTACTATATGACTTCCTTCCAACAGCAATGGTTTTAATGCTCCTTGCCTAAGTTCCCTTTACGCTTACACAGAGATATACCAAGTAGAAGGCCTGTAATGATTCAGCCAGGACTGTTACTCAGGTAAATTATCCTTATCCTCAGCCCAGGGCCACACTACTGATATCCGTTAATCTGCGCATTCTTTGAAAGCCAGCATTCTGGCAGGAGGTCGGGGGGAGGGGATGGGGATTCTTCAGGATCTCAGAGCAGGATGAAGTTCTCTGTTGCCCATTACCTCTTTTCCTCATTTCTGTAGTATTGAGGGTACTGTTTTTCAGTCCAGCCCTCCTTTGTCAGGGTCTGGTTTTTCTCCTTTAATTCAAGAAAATTTGTATGTGGATGCACAAATTCTCCCTCATTAACTTTTGTTCATAACAGATGAGTTTAGCCACTTTGTGTCTGCATATAAACATAATTTTCTTCTAATAAGTTTTCCTAATGCACAAACATACTAAATGTTAAATGAAAGGAGTTCAGTTTTACTACGGAGACTTACTTACAAGTGACTAAGATCAAAGTTCAGTTCCTCCCAACATAAAAACAAAGTCTGGAATAAAACTAAACTCTGATTAACCAGGTATCTAGTTACCATTTCATCAAGAAAATAAAAATGGACTGTATAAGAGCTTTTTAAAGACTTCTTTGCTTTTGTAACTAAAATTGAACTGTAATGTCTATGGAAGTCCTTGGATTTGACTTTGATGTTGATCTCCTGGTGTATTTAGCAGTATAAATTTAAAAGGAAAAAAGCCTTATTTAACCACATTCCTTGCCCAGTTATTCTCCTTTGCATCCTAAAATGAACTAAAGACTCTACATCTTATATCTTGCATAAAAATAATTTTATATTAAGTCAAATATCTACAATATAAAACCTTCAAAGTAAGGGTTATGGCTATAAATACCACACAAAAATGGAGAAATGCCTTATATAATTCAAAAGAGAATGGAATAGTACTACAAGATCTCAGATATAAGCATGAGAGTAGATCAACTCATTATCCCCAATTAATATTTAATTCCTAATACAGATGAAAAAATCATCCACATCTAGCAAGAAAATGAATACTATCATATCACAAACACATTAAAAAATTTACAGAAAAAATGGTGAAATGATTTCCAGCTGGATTTCTTTTTTTCCTTGTGTTCTGTATAAGAGGAAAGCCTCTTAAAATTATGTAACTTGGAAATTATCACAGATTTAAGATGTTCCCCTGTGTCTTAACCAAACAGGCAGGGAAAATTTAAGTCATTCTGTGGGACAAAAAAATCAATAATGAAAGACCACTTCTACTTTTTTAAATAAATAAAAATATAATTAAAATCAAATATCCAATTTTCCACTTCTCAAACTGAGACATATTTTCCTTCAATAAATACACACGCACGCAAGCATTCACACACAAGATATGATTTAAATCATTTGACTTCTTCAACCAATAATTCCTTCAACTTGTTCTATCTCAAATGAATACAAAAACAAAACTCTTTAAAAAGCAGTTCCTCCTATCTATATGTTTCAGACAATAAATTTCTGACAGGTGTTCTCCTATAGCTTATACAATACATTAGCCAGAAAAACACAAAAGTTGTTTCGCATCAAGCAGATTAATAACTATGGTAAAGTCTAAAGGTATTTGAGTAATGGTTTTATAGTAAGCAGAGGGTTAGCAAATCATGTAGGAAAACTGAAGACTCTAACCTCCTGCCTATGAGAACTGTTCTTACAGTGTGAACTTTCTGCAGGTACAGGCATTAGACAGGCCAAAAGAGACAAGGATGATTTTGTTTCACTTCCAGTACATGTGAATGTTTTATTAGTAAACCTGACTGGTAGAGTTAAAGCAGAATTTGCTACTGGCCTACAAACAAATTCCATAAACAAAACTCCACTTTAAAGACCAAACAGTGCTGAGTCTTTTGGAAGCTGTTGTTTTGTCAAGGAGTTCTCTGTAGGATAGGACCCACTTTTGAGTTACAACAGCTAGAGCATCCTCCAGGGTATTCACAAACTTTCAGCATGGACCTGTCTGGACACAGCACTCATTTCCGCGGCCAGTTTAATTCAGACTAAAGAAACATGGGCAACTGCTGCTCAGAGTAAAAGGAAGAATCTTTCGGATACCCTTTTAGTTCATGCCTAAAATTCACCACACAGGGAAGGAAATCATCTTGAGCCTCTAGAAGACACCCAGATAACAAATTTGAGAAGTTAATGGTAGACTGGGCACGCTAGAAGACTCCTCCTCTGAAGAAGAGTAACAAAGTTAATTACTGCCTTCCTCTCCCAAGCGAACACTGAACCTCTGCCCTAAGATAAGAAAAGTAACAGGTATTCAGTTGTTCCAGAAACAAGTGCAGAGTTTTTCCTGATTGTAAGAAGTGATTTTGATTTGTAAGACTGCATTTCACTGAAAAAACAGAATAATTCAACCCTTAATTCAACTCTCAGCTAAGTTTTCTGGTTAGTCAATAAGAAAACATTTTGTTTTTCTCTGCTGCCTGTTAGATTTTGCCATGTTTAAAAGTATTGAATTCTCCTTACAGGGTATCCATTTGTAGCAGTTATCAATCACTGAAGATTAGTGAGCCTTACCTCAAAAAATGCCTTGAATTTAAAACTCTCCAAAGTAAAAGGGAACCAATGTGCAAGGTAATTTCTAAGAGATACTTAATGTTTTTATCATATATTCCTGCAGTCATTCACACACATATGGGACATACTAAGCAAATGTCACCCTGAAGACATACTCAGCAAAGTGGAAGACTTAGAAAATAAGTGAGCTCTGTGGGGTTGATTTTGATTGAAGAGAATTTGATGGGATGAAACTGAATAACTGAGCCTGCTGATCCTTTTCTTCTCCTCTGTGAATTGGAGTTGGCCTGTTAGCTCTCCCATTTACCAACACAGAACCACCAATCAAGAACTGCTAAAAAAATAAATAAAAATGGTGTGTTATGGATGCCCATATGTACAACAGCAAAGTAGAAAAGCACCCAGCCTTGTTTTCTATTCAAGTATCTGATCTCTGGGCCAGAACCATGTTTCTTGAAAATGAAGGGTGATAAATAAAATACATGCATCCCAGGGGATGCCACCATGAAACCCAGGCAGAAACGTTAGAGAAAAAGGGTAGCTTTAAGAGAAAAAACTTGGACCATCTTTAGATGCTAACCCAATAGTCCAGTTTTTATGATATGTAACTTTCTCAGAAAAATCATCCCATAAAAGGGGCCAGAAGAACAGGGAAAGGAGAAGAAGCAATGGAGCTGGTGAGGGCTGCAGGAAAGGGAGAGGACAAAGTAGGATCTCAAAGGAGGTGGGAGGGCCGAAGCTCTGGTTAAACATGAAAAGAATAAACTCAATAGAGAATCCCATTAGATTTAAGAAATACACCAATACCTTTAAAAAAAATATGACAAAAAAGAAATATTACCACTCTTCTCTAGGGAATTAGGGATAAGAGAAATGAGGGCTCAACTCTCTGCCTCTTCCATCATGGGAGGTGGCATCCTGTAATAGGCAGGCAGTCTGCGACATGGATCCACAAAAATTTCTTGGCACCAGAGCTAATCTACTGATTGATAGTGCAGAAAGTAAAATACACAGGGCAATTGAAACCAGATTCCACAGTACTTGATTCAACTGTTTACTAAGGTCAGTATAGTTGGTCCTTTGCCTACCACTGGCAAATGGTTTTTGTATACTTTATTACAAATAAAACAATCTTGCTTGACAATACCATCTATGTCAGCTTTACCACACATATGACTAAACAATCCTAAAGTAATAATATATTAGGAACTGAGCTTTTCTTAAAAACAAATGAACTATACTATTAGTAAATCCTGTATCTAAATTTATACAGCATCTTTAAGCAATGTGGAAATGAAATTATGATTTATTAATTTACATACAAATTATACATTAATGAATAAATTTTCAACTTGTTAAAAAACAAAGTCTGAAGCTGTCATTATTGGGATTCGTGGGATGTGGTTTGCTCTTCTATCACTTGCTTCACAATTTCTGCCAGTTTTAGTCGATCTACTTTATCTGTGAATCCACGACCTAAAACCCAAAAAAGAAAAAGGTCAGTCTCCAAACTGTTTGGGAGGTGATAAGATTCTTGACAGGGACCCAATAAGGTACATCTCACTAGTGTAAAATTCACCCTCACCATGGAGGAACCATCACCAACACTGATCAAAAGCAGTTCAACTCCCCCATTTTTCAATTAGAACTGAGCAGCTTATTAACCTGGCCGTAAAAATCCAATGTTCAGTACAAGAGCACAGCAAGAAACCACAAAGAGGGAGTTCTTTGTGATACGTATGTTGACAAAAGAACTCATATCCGGACTATATAAAGCACTCCTACACATCTGTAAGAGAGATACAACTCAATAGAAAAATGGGCAAAAGAATAGGCACTTAACAAAATCTAAAGGGCCAATAAACATTAAAACGTGCTTAAGCTCATAGTCACCAGGGAAAGGCAAAGTAAAACGACACGCAATACCAGTAGTACTTATTAATCAGAATGACTAAAATGAAAAAGACAATAGCAAGGGTTGGTGTGGATATAGAATAACTAGAACCCTCAAACACTGCTAGTGGAAGTGTAAATTGGTACAACCACTTTGGAAAACTGGTGGCAGTACCTACTGAAGCCAAACAGATGAATATCCCCATGAACCAGCAACTCCAATCCTAGATACATTAAGAGAAATGAGTTCATTAAAATATTCATAAAAGATGTACACAAGAGTGTTTATAGCAGTGCTTTCCTTAATTACCAAAACCTGGAAACAACCCATATGTCCGTTCAACAGCAGAATGGATAAATATAAATACAAAAAATATATATGTGTATATATATGGAGAAAAATATATAGAGAATATATATTTGCATAAATATATATGAGAATGAATTGCTCCTATGCACAACAATATGGTTGAATCTCACAAATATAATCTTGACTAAAAGAAGCCAGACACAAAAGAACATAGACTTCTCTGACTCCATTTACATAAAATATAAAATCAGGCAAAACTAATATATACTGCTAGAAACTGGGATCATAATTACCCTTGTGAGGAGGGAGGTAGCAGTTAAAAGAGGGCACATGCTCCACTACATGTTCTAGGTGCTTGTTACATGGGAGTGTTCACTTTGTGAAAATTCATCAGACGTGCATACCTCAAATGTGATCACTTTTCTGTATTGATATTTCAAAATCCTAAAAAAAAAAAAAAAATCCTAGGGAAGCTAATCTCCTCCAAGTATGGGAATGGCCAGGCTAGCACTTTGGATTTCTCATGTCCAAGAATCAAGCTAGGCAATGAGTTTGCTTCCTTCCCTGAGCATCCTAGACCTTAAGTCTAGTTTAGTCAGCTAAAGTAGAAAGACAATACAAAAGCAGCTCAAAAAACACACCTGTACCTTGTTTGCCTGTGGGGAAAAAAATTCAAAGAGCAGCAGATTCGGCTCTCTACTCCAGTGAAACAGGTCTTCTCTAAGCTAAGCAGATCAGCAGGGTGGACTCTCTGGTACTTTGCCCTCTTTCTCCCCTTCAGAGTATACTGCTCTTTAATGACCCAGTGAACAGCTCAGGTATCTGGAAGGAGTTCTGAGATCTGACTGTTTTTTTGCCCAAGTGGTATGTGACGGGGGCTCTGCAGCAATGAATCTGCGACACATAATTCATCTGAACTCTGGGAAACAAGCGAAAGGGCCAGATGTCCAGATACGCCTGGGCAGTTACTGTAGGGCTAACCCCCTGTCCCACAGTATTCCACTCACTCGCCAGCCCTACTTTACCTGAAAACAGTCCCAGCCCAGCCCCCAGAGATCCTACATATTCTAAACACAATTACTTCTCTGCATTCCTGGGGAAAGGCATAATTAAGGCTCCTACCATTCCAGCTGAAGCTTTGCAGAGTATCTCTTAGGAGTCTGCATTCCCGGTTATACTTCCAAGCTTCCTGAACTACTTCATTCAGCTTTTCATCTTCATTCTCTCCTATTGATAAAGATGAAGAAGAACTTGCATTTTCCTGCAGCATCATGGGATTTTAGTGTCAGAGACGGAAGGACACGATGTCCAACTTATTGAGAAGTGATGATGAAAGGTGCAAGCTTTACCAGACCATCCATCATTACTTCTAGTCCCTACATTACATGTAGACCAGGGGTCCCAACCACCGGGCCGCACAGCAGGAGGTGAGCAGTGGGCAAGCGAGGGAAGCTTCATCTGTATTTACAGCCACTCCCCATCGCTCACATTACCACCTGAGCTCTGCCTCCTGTCAGCATTATGGTGAGTTGTATAATTACTTCATTATATATTACAATGTAATAATAATAGAAATAAAGCACACAATAAATGTAATGCACTTGAATCATCCTGAAACCATCCCCCCCCACCCCCGCCCCCAGTCCATGGAAAAATTATCTTCCACAAAACCAGTCCCTGGTGCCAGAATATTACAATAATAATAGAAATAAAGCACACAATAAATGTAATGCACTTGAATCATCCTGAAACCATCCCCCCCCACCCCCGCCCCCAGTCCATGGAAAAATTATCTTCCACAAAACCAGTCCCTGGTGCCAGAAAGGTTGGGGACCACTGATGTAGACCGCTTCTGGTTTCTCAACTCTTCCTGCTCTGACCACCTCACACAAATTCCCTGATGCCCCCAAGAGTCTTAGCACTGAGGGATGGGAAATAGGTATCCCATAGAATGTCAGACTATTGCTGAGCAAAAGCACCTGGTTAACTTAAGAGACCATGAGCAGGAGGGAGAATAAGGCTGAGTGGGCTACCTTCTTTCTCCTAAGCTCATTTCTTACTTTGGAAGGCTACCTGAGGCACACTAGTAAGTTCCCTTAAAAGCCAAGGAATCTAGGAAGACTGGTCAACTCAACAGTTTCCTGGCCTACTACTTGAAGCATCTCATTCATCTGCTGAGAAAAGCCCATCATACCCCATTAGGTGGAAAGAGAACATACTGAAAGAGAGCTCTCACTCAAAAGGACTTCTGTTTAAGTCCCACCCTGCCCATGATACAAGTAGCAGCCAGGGCCACTTCTGAACTTGGGAGATCGTCTCTTTATATTCACAAGTTAATGACAGCCTTGTACTCTAAGGGCTCTGGATATGGTGTTTCCCAACCCTCCTGACCTTCCCAACCTAATCCTGACCCTGTTCACATTTTTTTTCCATTTTCCATCCTCTATCCTGTAATCTCATTAACAAACTAAGAAAATACAAAATTACGTGCTGTGTCTGACGCTGGCAGTTAAACCGAAACTAGAAATTTTACAGGAAACCAAAGGTGGGCCAGAGCCTCACATTTCTGAGTTCCCACCGTCCATTCTTTTCAGTGGGCACAAACTATATAATGTACTTATTTTCTTATAACACAAAGATGAAACAGACAACTTCAAAACAAACCACTCCTTTGGTCATGTGCATGTGCACACACACAGACACGCACAGAGCATTCATAAATGGTGTGACCTTTACCAGCCTGGGGGAGAATACACTGAGCAATCACATCTCGGAGCTTTTCCAAGGCAACATTTGAATCCTCGGCTCCATTCTCACGGTCGTGGATATAAACACCATCCTTTGGCTTGGTGCTTTAGAAGTTTGGGAGAGAGGTAATAACAAGGTGAGACCCCAACTCTTATCTCAACCCCATCTGTTAAAACCCAACTCTTAACAGATGTTAATGCTAAACATAAGGAACAGATTTTTCAGATAAATAATTAACTATAGAGTATCTCCAACTTCTGATGCTATTTAAAGAACATATCCTTTTCACCCTCTTAAGAGACAAAAAAGGGCAGACGCCTGCCTGACCTTTCAGAACCCTGTACTCAACCACACCAGCCATGAGGGAGAACTGAAGAAATAAGCTCAGTTACCCGAGTAATTTCCTCTTCCTTAGAATGGGGTTGTTCACAGAGTGCAGGGGTTTGAGGCTGACTTTCAGGTCCTGGATTCGCATGTTGGCCAACTGTTCTGCATGGGCCTGTTGGATTCCTGCAACCACCGCCTGAATGCAAACACTGTCATCAGTTTTTCACATTCATTTCTGGGCACCTAAAAAGCCAATCTAAGACAGTGGGAAGGAGAATCACAAAGAACTAAGAAGGCAATTTCATTCTTATGCTGGCAGTATACAAATTTTGATAAGGCAGAGGACTCTTCCCCATGGATCAGCAGGGCCCAGGGAATACCAGGCCAATAGCTAGCCCTTCTTTCCTGTGGGCGGACAGAAATGCAAGTAAGAAATACTAACAAGGCTCATGCTCAGTCATTGGGAAGGGCAAGTGTAAAGAGTCGTACACGTACATCAGGGGAAAAGCTAGCAGGCTGCTGCCTGAGAAGCCTCCCTGACTGGCATTTACTCACTGCCCCCATGGTGTAGACAGTCACCTTAGCCCTGATGGCTCAGAATCCCAAGCATTTCACCTGGTGAGCATAGTAGACCCTCACAAACTGATCTATAAGCCAGTCAATTAATTTACAATGAGAAATAACTGTCATAAGGTCTAGCACTCTTCAAGTCTGTCTTTATGACCAGTGCGTTCTCTCACTACGGGCAGACCAATAAGGGAAGGCAAATAATCAGAAAAAGCTTTATAAGAATGAGACGATCCCACTTCTGTATTTAAAAAAAAAGACAAACTCTGTGAGTGTGTGTGTGTCTCTCCAGAAAAAGATCAGGAAGAATACATCAAGCCATAGGTCACCTCACCTCTGAGGGGTGAGACTGAGGCAGGGTAATGAAAGGGAACTTTTGCTTTTTATTTTATATACCTCCGTGTTGTTTGAATTTCAACAACAAAATCTGACAGTTTACAAAAATAGTTCCTCGGTAAGCATGCAATTAGATCAGGAAGAGTTTGAACTCATTTAAGAGAACTATACTAACTGGCCCTGGCTACATGCCCCCAGACCCTTGAATCTATTTCCTTCTTGTCCGTGATAGCCCGACCAAAAAGATGGGAACACCTCAAGGTTGTGAGCTCAGGCTCCATCTCTTAGGCACAGCTTAGATGGACACATATGTGGACATTTTTTCCACACTTCCAAAGTTGACCAGCCTACATCTTGACCACATCATTTCTTTAAAAATGCGAATACACTGTCACATTGCAGTTCCATCTTATAGGCCCAGGAGCTACTCTTCCTCATTAAGAAGATTATGCATATCCATACTTGGCTTCATTATACACTAATCTTAAAGTAACTCCAGAAGGCAATCTTATTTCTCCATTTCAAGATCTTGAGGAAAGCCACAATGTAACACTCAATTGCTGACAACCAGAGGGTATAGGTAATCCTTTTGTATTTTGGACTGACCAAACAAACCATTTCTGGACTACTGGGCACATTTAAACCAGGAAGACAACTGCACACAAATCAGAGATAGCAGAAAACTCTGTTCCTTCTAGCTCTCCTTTCTCGCTCATACTCCAGCTAAACTAAGGGAGGTCTTAGCATTCTTTTTTCCTATTCACTTACATTTCAACTCCATCCCTTCTAAGTCAGTAACACTCAAGTCTGTGTCACTGCCTTTCCCTCTCAGCCACATTCTGATTCCACACCACACATCCATCGACCACCTTAAACAATATCTAAAACCTAAGAGACTTCCCTTCACCTAAAACCAGCCTCATTCCTGATTTCCCTCTGTCAATGGTGTCACCAGATATGCCACCCACTGTCCCTTTATATCTAGTCAGTCACCAAAAATTGTAGAAATTTGTCTTCAAAAATATTGAGCCTATTCATTCATCTCTACTTCTCTGCTCCTAGAGCAGCTTCTCAGCTTCTAGATTATTGTAAAAGTATTAGGTTGGCAAGTCTGCAAGTCTGACTAACCATCCCCAAACACCTTCCCTGTGGCAAATCTCTTCTCAAAAATCTACAATAGCCTCTCAATTATGTCCTACTAAGACTTAAACCCCTCTGTCTACTTTCAAAGCCAGGTCTGCCACACCCATTTTACCAACTTCCCATCAATGAAGTCAGGCTTCATTACATGTAAAGGGGTTAAACATGTAAAGGGGTTTAAAAATGCCACACAACAGTTAATAATTGTGATGGTTTTTGCCTTCTCTTTGGGAACCCTTCCCTAATTACAGCCCCTCAAAGTTGCTCTCTTTTTCTGAATTTCCATAGCGTTCACAGAAAATTTAGCATGCAAAAGCTCTGATGTCTGAAAATGTTCCCTCTTTGTTTTGTGTTTATTGGTATTTCCAACAAGTCTTGTTTAAACTCCTTGGGCAAAAGGACGGTGTCTGATACTGCTCTGTGCCCCCAACCCCATAGCACAAATATGGAAGATAGTCCTTTGAGTGTTCCCTTAGTGTGTTTACCAGGCCTTGATCTAGTCTTTTACGGAAATAATCTCTTTATTTCCAATCCTGATCTTTGGAAGACCAGAGGTATTTCTCTGGGAAAGACTGTGTGCTCTGCATTGTTTTGCCTTTAACCCCTCATTGAGTCAAGCCTCAGCATTCCTTCCCAACACAGCCTTTTCGGCCAACAAAATAAGCAGCATTCAAAACCTTATCCATCATCAGTTGAGCAGAGGGTAGCACATTATCCAGGGCCTCAGTTGAGTTGAGCCAGGGGTGATCCAACACTCCCTCGATGGTAAGTCTTTCCTCTGGTTTGACCTTCAAGAGCCTGTGGAGAAAAGGCCAACAGGGCTGCCATGCAGTTGCTTCCAGAGGCCGGGAAGTTCCTGGGTCTGGCTCTAACCAGCTCTAGCTTCTGACTTTCCACCAACTCTTACAAGCCTAGGCTTTCTATTTGCAGGACAGAGATGGGGCTCTCGTCCCTAACCGTTAGTTGTGAGGGCACTCTGTCCTTAGGCAGTTCTTTCTATACTAAATAAATTGAGATAAGAATGGTAGGAAAAGGCTTATTAGTCCAGTGATACCTCAGACTGAGTTCCAGGTTCAGTAAAGTAATTTTACATATGGCTTACAGTTCCTGAGACACTGAATCCCCAGACTAATGTTTCTAGGACAGTGGGCTATAATTTCCAAAAGGGACTCAAAGTGCTCTTTTGGCTAACAGTGACTGTAAAATTAGTCGAGGGGTCATATGGTTCTGAAAATCCAGGTTGCTACTTGTGATAAAACTCTTGTCACCATTTGGCAGGACCTGAACCCTTTATTCCAAAGACATTCAAAAGCTAAAAATCTAGGGCTTCCCTGGTGGCGCAGTGGTTGAGAGTCCGCCGGCCGATGCAGGGGACATGGGTTCGTGCCCACGTCCGGGAAGATCCCACATGCTGCGGAGCGGCTGCGCCCGTGAGCCATGGCTGCTGAGCCTGCACGTCCGGAGCCTGTTGCTCCGCAACGGGAGAGGCCACAACAGTGAGAGGCCTGTGTACCGCAAAAAAAAAAAAAAAACCAAAAAAAACACACAAAACAACAAAAACAACAAAAAAAAGCTAAAAATCTAATCTCTGAGAAGGGGATGGCATTTCCTTCTAAGCCTAATGTATTGTTCTATACCATCGGCTTTTTGACCATAGTTCTTTACATCTTGTACATTTATCCTAATGCAATTCCTAGCTCACCCCAGCATATTCCCTGGGCCTCTTACAGCACCTTCTTCCAAATACATAGCCTCCCATTCCAAACATCAGAGTCAGGACAACATGCCTACTTGCTCTTTCATGTTCTCTGTAACCTTCTGGATCATTGTGAACAAACAGCTTCAGATTCTAAAGAAAGGATTATTTAGAAAAGAATCTCAATGCTGAAAGAAGATAATCAATGTTGCTCTAGGGACAGGAAATATATTCTACAGAACTGCAAAGAACCAATTAGAGGATACTGATATTTTGGTTAAATAACAGAATACAGCAGGGGAAGAGCATAGGAAGACAA